TCACAGCCGGTCTCCCGCCGAATGCTGTCCGCGTCGGGGATGCGCGCGGCGTGGGAGCCGAGGGAGCCCATGGCTGCGCCTGCTGAGCCGCCCGGCCCCGCGCGCTAGCCTCCCGCTCCCGGGCGCGGCCGCCCCCGTGGCCCCAGGGCCGAAGGGCGCAGGCCTGGCGCGGAGCCAGGCTCGGGAACCCCCGCGTGCCTCGCCTCCCACCCGCGACCCGGGCGAACAGAAAACAATGCCCGGGGTGGCGGGGTCAGAGGGGCGGCGCGAACAACGGGGCGTTTCATCCCGAGGTGGTGAGGTCGCCAGGGCCCCGCCTGCCCCACGCCCGCCAGGCCAGCTCTGCGTTCTCACGCCGCGGGACACGCGACGCGAGTCCCCCGGGCAGGGCCCCCACTCACAGCTCCCGGTGAGTAAGGCTGGGGGTTCCGACCTTATCATCCACAGACAGAATCCACGTCCTTCTGGGAAGGGGGCCGGGGGGTGGGGAGGGGAGCTGGACCCATTTGTCCCAGTCCCAGCTAGGGGCCCCTTCCCTGGGCAGGAGGGCCGGGCAGAAGAGACATTGAAGGACCCCCGAAGAAGAGTGGAGTGGGAAGGGTCCTGAGCGGATGAGGGGAGCTGGTTTGAGTGGGAAGATCACTGGATGTGGAAGGACTGGATGGGGGCCTCAGCTATGCGGTTAACCCTGGACAAGCCAGTGTGACTGCGTTGCACCTCTTCTGTTCTGTCGACACAGCGTAATTGTTGATGCTTAATGGAGTCACTGCTTAAAAATCAGGAGCTTTAACCAGAAATCCAGTTCCCAGCTTCTGAGAAATCAGAAGTTTAAGAAGCCACTAGACCCCCTTACCTTGGCTGTACCTGGAGCACAGGTCCCATGTGTAATTGGGGCATCTCAGCCTGTCCACTGGGCACAGTCTCCACCTGGCTTGGTTCACGTCCTCATGTATCCCGTGGTGCCCCTGGTAGAAGTTCCAGGCTGGAAAGCCTTGGACCTCGGCCAGCCCTCAAACACCATGGGAATCCACAGTCCAGTGAGGAGGTTACAAACATCACCGTGACCAAGCTTAATGTAATAATCATGGTAACAACAACAAAGGCTCTCTTTTTTTCTAGTACTCACCATGAGCCAAGCACTTTGTGAAACACAGTGTACATGATAAGCTCACACTCCTAAAAGCACCTGCTAGACTGCCTGCTTCCCGCTTTTACACAATGGAGGCTGCCAGGGGGGTGGTTATGAACTATTTGTAAATCATGTGTCCTCGGCAGGGCACATATCCCCTCAAAGGGGCAAAAAATCCTATTCTTTTTATGTATAAAACACAAATGTGCATATAGTGCATAAATAGATATATAGTGTATCTGTGGTATTAAAATTTCATAGCATTAAAATTTCACGATTAGGAAAAATAGTCTAAAAATGCTCCTTAAGTGAGGGCAGTAGTGAACAAAAGGTTGAGAAACTCAGCTGTAAAAGAATGGGCCCCACAGGTGTCCAGGTTTAAATCTATCATTTTCCCATCTTCCCCCATCATAATCACACATTTACACAAATTTCCAAGAGGAAAAAATATATAAGCCATTTATTATAAGGGTTCAAGTTCATAGCCACCCTGGAGAGAGAGAAGCTGGAAAAATAGTGAATCTCTAGTCAAAGCCTCCGTGCCTCTGCTTGGATCAGCTCGGCCTTGAAAATATTGATCTAAGAAGTGCTTACTTCTCTTTCAGATACCCCAAGGACTGAACAACTGGCATAAGGAAGGCTGATTCCCTTCCAGATGTCCCCCAAGGACTGAAGCGTTCGGGAAACCACACTGCTCCCTAATGAAGCCCAGCAACCCCTCCTGTCCACAGCTGTGAGTGAGGCTGTGAGTGCAGTTCGGGTTAGGTCCTGAACCCAGGAGGGGCTGAGAGTCCCTGGGATCTGTAATAATCAACTCAGGCCAGTGTGGGATGTTGATCTTGGAAAGAGCTTCTCCAGCCTTAATCTCTGAGTCAGCGCTCCCCTAAGGTAAGTTAGGCCAGAGAGTAATTAACAACTCCCATCCACACACTATCATCACAAGCCTAGAGGAAAACACTATATGCTAGGACCCGTTCGTGCTTCATGCACATGAGTAGAGTTTAAATCAACTTCACCGTATACCTGGCAACATCTTTTGAGGGGGAGCACTTAAAGGGGAGATGGTGGGGTGCCCGGCTGGCTCAGTTGGTGGAGCATGTGACTCTTGATCTTGGGGTTGTGAGTTTGAGCCCCACGTTGGGTATAGAGATTACTTAAAAAATAAAATCTTAAAAAAATAAAATTAAAGGAGAGATGCTCTGGGGAGAATTTCATCTGCAGAATTGTAGGGCAAAAGCAGCCATAGACTTTACTTGAGCAAATAGACCTGTGTTCTTTAAAAAAAAATTTTTTTTAATGTTTATTCATTTTTGAGAGAGAGACAGAGCATTAGCAGGGGAGGGGCAGAGAGAGAGAGAGGGAGGGAGACACAGAATCTGAAGCAGGCTCCAGGCTCTGAGCTGTCAGCACAGGGTCTGATGTGAGGCTTGAACTCACGAACCTCAAGATCGTGACCTGCGCTGAAGTCAGACACTTAACTGACTGAGCCAACCAGGCACCCTAGACTTGTCTGTGTTCTAATAAAACTTCACTTATGGACACTAAAATTTGAAACTCATATAATTTCCTTGGGGCACAAAGCATTATTCTTTTCTTTCCAGCCATCTAAAAATGTGAAAACCAGGCACCTGGGTGGCTCAGTCCCTTGGACATCCGACTCCAGTTCAGGGCATGATCTCGTGGTTTGTGAGTTTGAGCCCCACATCAGGCTCTCTGCTGTCAGTGCAGAGCCTGCTTTGGAGCCTCTGTCTCCTTCTCTCTCCCCTGCACCTCCCCTGCTCATACTGTCTCTCTCAAAAATACATAAGCATTAAAATTTTTTTAATAAAACAAACCAAAAAAAACCCAAAAATGTGAAAACTATTCTTAGCTTGTGGGCCATACAGAAACCGGCCTCTGTCTGGGATTGACCCACAAGGCCATTGTTTGCTAATCTGCTCTAGATTATAATTCTGCATTCTCCACAGATCTGCTTCACTAAAAGACCAATATGCTTTCTCTTCAGAGCTCTCCAGGAAAAGGAGAATTGGGCACAATGACTAGCATAAACAAGAACCCAGTGGGGCATATTGTCTGGAGGATTTTGAAGCCAATGGATGGCAATGGGAAGAACTGGCTTTAACTCACCAGTACCAAGCCATCATTCTCGCAGACCTTGGGACAAGTTTGTCCATCTGGGGAGGGAATCTCAGAACTAAAGCCACACTGGTTTTCGGGCGAGAAGGCTGAAGAATCGAGTTTGGGAAGGGGTATGACGTAGTACAATTCTGGAGAGCTTGACATCAGGAGTCATTACAGGATGGTGTAAGAGTAATCTGGCTGAGACAGCAGTGTCTCTCTTGGGTATATAGAAATGAAAATCTATATTCACAGAAAACCAAAAGAGGGAAACAGCTGATGAACGGATAAAACATGGTGTATCCACACAATGGTTTACAACTCAGCAATGAAAAGAAAGGAAGTATCAGTACATGCTATAACATGGATGAACGTTGGAAACAAGCTAAGTGAGAAAAGCTAAACGCAAAGGACCACATGCTGTATGATTCCATTTATATGTAACATTAAGAATAGGCAAATCCATAGAGAAAGTAGATTGGTGGTTCCATGGGGG